TGTGCATGCCACATAAGCGGTGGGCATATTAACATGTGCCTATCGAGGGTAGGTGAGCATTACTGATATGGTCAATACCTACTACACACATACTTGTTAAAAAATTATATTGAATTTTAAATAATAGTAACAACAAAAATTGTTTTACTTTTTAAATAATTTTTTTAAAAAATATATTATTATTTATATTTAAAGTGACATCGTCACTTACACGACTTACCATCTTATATTATATATTTATTTTTTAATTTATATCGGATAACTACTTTGTAGTTAAGTTAGTTTAAATAATTTTTTTTTTCTTTTTGAATTAATACTAATAGGTAATTTATTTTTAATTATAAAAATAAAATTGTTTATTTATTTTATATGTATGATATAGACGTCAAATTGAAGCTCATCAAAACATAATAAATTTGATATATTACATGTAAAAAATTGCTAATAAATAATTTTTTTAAAAAAATTTGTACTTTAAATTAGTAAATTTCTTATAATTTTACAAGAAATATTGGAAAAAAAATAATACTTTATAAACCAAAATTAATGCTCTTTAAAGAATGGGAAATAATATTAAAACCATAATTAATGCTCTTGAAAGAGACCATAAATATCCAGTATATTTATGGATATTCCAAGTTTAGTTAATTATGGATTGAAATAAATTAAAATTCATCTAAGCCAAACAACAAATTTTTAAAACTTGAAACATAGGATCCCTAAACATGCGAGTCTACCACTTAACTTCAACACATTCAGAAATAATATATATGGGGATTAGTATTGTAGGTATATATGGAAAATGGAAATTATATGCGAGTAATCGAATGATTTTCTTATGCAGTCGTCCATCACTTATTGTAGGACACATGTCAATACACTATTCGTGAATAAGTGTGGATGACTCCATAAGTCATGTCATCCGATGACTCCATAGCAAAATTGTTTATGTATATATTAGTACGATATTCCTGTACGGCACGAATATTTGATAAAAATATAAATGCACAATAAAAATGAAAAAATATATTTATATATTTTGTTGAAGTTGAAAAAATAAATAAGAAACAGTATATAATAACTTATAATAAAAAAAACTAAGTGAATTAAGAATATTATTTTAAAATCTAAAAATTAATATCGACATCATTAGTTTAATTTATATAAGTTCTATCTAAAACATATAAGAGAATAATATGGACAAAAAAAAAATGAAAAGTGAGATAATGTATACATTGTAGAAAGAAGACAATAAATAAATCTATATGAAATAGTTCAAATATATTAAATATGTGTATTTCTGTCAATTCAAACTTAAGTTATTTGGTATAAAAAAATAATATTTTTTATTCGAGCTATATTACAAACCTTAACATTGTGCGACATAAGATTACAAAACATGTGAAGTTGTCATTTAAGGTCAACGCATTCTATAATTACATACATATGTAAGGAGGATAACAATATTTTTCTTTAAAAAAATAGTTTCTATTCCAATTTTTCTATGAAGCCCATATAATAAATAAAAACATGATATTATTGAATTAACTGAAAATACAATTAATTTTTATAATTGTTATTTCTTTTACTATCATTAGACATGCCCAAGTATTGGAATCGACCCCGATCTTTGACCTACAGTTCATAATCAGAAATCACGTTTTGTTTGATTCGGTTCGAGTAAGGTGCCTAGGCCTGGCACGGTGATTCAGCGGCAAAATTCAAAATTTGAAAATTTGAATTTTTTTTCTTAGTTCCCAATATTTATGGTTCATGCCCAAATCGGCTCTTAGTCGTTAGGGTTCTGAAGTAGGGCTGTCAATTTTATGAATCAGCCGAGTGCTTCTCTCGGGCCAGTTTTGGTTGCACAAAAATAGCCCGTCGAACACTCGATTTATGTCCAAAATCGGCAGTGCGGGCCGTTCGGCCATGTCTGCTTGTCATGTTTAGAAAGTTGCTCTATTATGAAAACAATTGTTGGTTTCATTGAAGAATTATTTCTTGGATATAAAAATAAGTGAATATTTGTAGTGAAACTACATATTCGTTTACAGTAAGACAGTTGCTAGATAGACATAATGGTTAACTATATCTATTTTGTAGCAAATATACATACTTTTAAATTGAAATGTTATATTAAAAAATAACATAAAAATATGTCATTTCTTAACATCAGTATGAACTTTTGTTAAATAAATATGACAGGATCCACCTTACAATCAAACTTTAGATTAATTTTATTTCATATAGTGGTTTACATATTCTCATATTAATAATGTGTATTTGAATATTTATTAAGAATTTTGAATAAGGGTTTTGGTATATAGTGGTGTAGTTGTTTAAATAATTATATAAATAAAAATAATGTAGAGGCAAAATGAATAAGAAACAATCCAACTGAATTTTTAAGGAGTTGTGCGAATAAATTATTTTTTAATTAAAAATGTTTGATTGAATAATTTGTCATTTTGCGATTTTATGTACAATTATTTATCTATTTTTTTGTTTATATTTTATGATTTAAACAAAAGAATTACAAAAATAAATTAAGGGTAAATTGCAGTTTTGATACCCAAACTAAAGTTCATTTCATAATCAGTACCCGTTTTTTAACATTTGCAAAATCAATACCCAAACTTTCATTCTGTTAGCAACGTTAGTACCCGACTGTTAGATCTCCGTTAAATTTTCGTTAGTTGTTAACGAAAGTAGGCAAAATGGAGGAAATTTTCCTTTTTTTTTTTTTGGCTCATGATGAAATCTATATACATAAGACATTGTACCATTTTTTTTTAAAAAAAAAAAATGCAGCCTCCACAATTTATAAGAAAAAAATTGGATAAAGTCGATTTTTATTTAAAGAAAAATGTAATAAATCGAGAAAAATGAGAAGACATGATTTCTCTTATAGTTCAAGCAGTATATCTTGGAATAATAATTTTTCAATAACAAAAATACAAATTTCCTTCTATTTTGCCTACTTCCGTTAACAACTAATGGAAATTTAACGGAGATCTAACGGTCGGGTACTAACGTTGCTAACAGAATGAAATTTTGGGTACTGATTTTGCAAATGTTCAAAAACGGGTACTGATTCCGAAATGAATTTTAGTTTGGGTATCAAAACTGCAATTTACCCATAAATTATCCTAGCTAAACAAAGTATTAAGTTATACTAATGCACTTCCAAGTAGTTTTATACATAAATTATTTTTTATCAAACTAACATCTAAAGTTTTCCGCCGGTCAAAACAACTATTACACTTCATTGTCAAACCAATTGATTCAATCAGCTAACACTAACTGTTAATTACCATGATTTAAAAAATCGGACAGAATCGTCTGGTCTGAACATTTCCACCACAAGGGCTCAACAAGCAGCGTAATTGATTGGACCGAGAACGGTTTAGTTGACCGACACATTTCGTTGGAATGAGCCGATAGCCAGTGAACCGGTCAGCAAAACGGTTACCGACCGGTTGAACAGGTTAAAACATGCCAGGACTGGCCAAAAATTGATCGGTTAGACCTCCGATCCAATTTTTATTAAACAATTTTTAATATATTTAAAAATATTTTTAATATAAAAAATACATATTTAGATATAAGGGATATATATGTTAGTTATAAGTTTAGTTATTTTTACTGTTTTAACTTGTTCAAATGATTAACTAACAAAATTTTTATATATAACTTTTATCATATAAGATTTTATATATTTAAAAATATTAATAAATTAAATAAATATCCAATCGGTTCAACCAACCGACCATAGCAATGCACAATTGAACCAGTAACTTTATCGGTTCATGCCCGATCGGGTTGGGAGAACCGTCCTAATTACCAAAAAGCCTGTGTTTCTATGTTTTGTCCTTTTTATTTATGGTGTAATAATATGCAATCTTTTACTTTTTCTATATTTTTTACCTTGCTGGCATACTTATCTCGATTAGGAGATATTAAAGGCGTGGTTAAAGGACAAAAGAGCATTTGGATGAGATGGCTTGACTCTCTTCCAACTTAATCAGTGATTTCGTGTTTGAGCCCTGGGAATGCAGCAGTGTTAAGAACTTTTGAGGGAAAGCTTTGCCGCCCTTGTGATCCTACCCGACTCGATTTCAGATTAGTCGATTCCTCTGTAGATCTAAAAACCGAAAGGTCCCTGTACCAAAAAAAAATTAAGA